ATGAAACTTACCCACATTCGAGTGTTAAAAAAAGAATGCATGAAGCTAGAATAAAATGTTTTTGTTTACAAGCAGATACCCTGTTCTTTCTTTTGGTGTTTTGTATGTTCAGATATTCATATAAAAACAAAATATATACACATTAATACCTAAATAGGGACATAGTAGCATACTTGAAGTATGATGTAAAGTTCACTTAAAGAAAACGTACGAGTATACTTGCAGTATAAAACTACTAAACTAGTAGTTTACTGAGACTATACTTCAAAGTGTACTAAAAATGCTACTACAAGTATTTAATTAGTAAACTATCAGTATTCGTAAGTTCACTTTTAGTATAGTTGCAGTACAAACTAAAAATATAGATGTAAACTAGTGTACTACTCTTATACTTAAAAGTATACTTTATTTACTAGAAAGTGGGCCAATTTAGTCCCAAGGAGTATTGAAATAGTACACTTACAAGTATACTACTAGTACACTGATATTTGTATACTTACTACATAAAGTATAAATACTTGAACTTTACTTAAGTATACTTACTCAAATAAACTTGAAGTATACTACTTTTTGGTAAGGGTACTTTGATCAAACTTGTTTTATACTTGCATTAAACATACTATGTTGATATAAAAGAGCAAAGAGAAAGAAAATATATTCATTTATATATATATACAGTATGTATATCAACATAAAATAAATTGCACATTACATTACACCAGGGTTTGCCAAACTGGGCTTAATGTAAGAACTGCAGTGAGTTTGCAATTGAATAAAAAGCTAATAATTAAATCTTAAAAATGTACAATAAAAATAATTAAAACCCTTGAAAACTAAACATATTACAAGTTTGTGCATGTGACCATTAACCAACGTCAGAGAACTGTAAACGTGAGTGCGTGATTTAAAATTAAATACATATATTAAATTATACACACATATTATATTTTAAGGGCTCCAGCTGACAAAAAAGTTTGGGAGTCCCTGCATTATATGAACAAACATTAATAAACATGAAAACAACAATGACTTCACATGCACAAAGTCTTCCAGGTTTGTAATCTTTTTATTTTCATTCCATTACAAATCATTTACTGCCATTGTGTGAATAATACGTAATCCATAATATTTACCCCTCATGTTGGAGTATAATTTGTCCTCAGTTAAAAGCACGATTGGTTAGTTTTTGGTGTTTTATGGTTATGATGCTGATGCTGGTGCTGATGCTGCGGGCTCGTGTTGTTGCTAGGCAGCCGTGTACAGGCCCATAAGAACCGATAATAATACTTTAACAATGAATGGATGTATATGTGACTCCATTATGCCCTTTTGTATCACCCTAACAGTTAAAATGCTCGCCCTCTGTTACATCAGCCCCTTTGGTAGCAGTTGAGAGGGTGTTGTTTTGCTGTGGAAGAGGTGGGTGTGACACACGAGTCTTTCTTTCTCCCTGGAATAAGAGCCCTGGAGAGAAAGAGAAGATGGCACGGCCCTCTCTGCTCAATCTCCAGCGCTCCTAAAATCCTAAAACCTCTGCCAAACAGTCTAGAGCATAATCAAATGACCCGTCTTTTATTAGGGTTGGCTGACTACTTTTCTTTTTAATTGCCTTCTTGAGCACATAATGGATATTATCATAATGTATTCATTAAATTTGCAGTTTTTTTCATGAGGTTCAGCTGCAGGGGGAATGATGTGAAAAGTATTTTGGGGGAAATGGTTATGAGGGGGTTGTGGGTATGTGATAGACTTATACCAAATATACTCTTCAGATGTGGAATTTTGCTTTGTAAAGATGCCTTTAGATCATAGATTGTCCATATTTTAACAATATGAACGGTTCATGCTGTAGGCTAAAACAAGGACTCCCAAACTTTTTTTGTCAGCCAAACAACTCTGACCTAAAATATTTAGTCCCCCCTGAGATTTTGTTCATTTAAAATATTTAACAACCCATTCACATGTTCTCTGCACTCTCGGGGGAAAAAAGGTACAAAGGCTTTTTCAAAGGTGCACCTTTGTACCTTATTTACTCCAAAAAGGTGCATATTAGTACCTCAAGTATGCATATCCAAATTGTAAATATTAAGGGATACTGCCTCAGTTTTTTTGAGATCAGTTAATGGTCACATGACATGTAGATAAACAAATAAAATATTTAATCTGGTATTTGTTTTAAATGTATTTATTTATATTTTACACCCTAAAGCTCAGACCCTAATCTAAAATATTTGTAAAATACTTTTAAGAACATAAATAAATGTAGTTTAGCGTGCACTTTACAGTTTTTCTCTGTCGCTTTGGTGCATTTCTCAAATCATCCTTAATATTTGAAAAGTAGATGTAAACTGTTAGCATTACCTGATGTAAACTATGACAACAGTTTGGATGACAGTTACTGTATTGAAATGCAGAAGGCTGCACTTATGCCATATATCCATTTCAAAGGTACAGATGTACACATTACTGTATGTGGGATATTGATTGAAAGAGATTGGATAGGATTCACAGTAACACTTGAGCTGTTTCAGAGAACTCTTCATTAGTGAAAGTCAAGATTCACTTGCACGATTCATAGCAAATTTACAACAAATTCTAATAGAAATGTGTAGAAAATATGCTTGACAGTTTATGACAACTAGATCAACCATTGTGCATCTAAAGACTTATACGATGAACTAATGATGTTTTGAGGGGTGAGACTATTGCACGGAGAACTATATAATACATTTTGAGCAACATGACATTAGCAACTTATAATGTAGTAAACTGCACACAATCAGTTGCATGAATGTACCAAAGCAATCGCAACTTGTACAGAAGAAGGAGAAACTGCTTTTATGATGTGCACAAGTGACTAGATGATGTGGAGGATGCACAAGTAGTTTTGAGATTGAGAAATGCACCAAAGCGACTAAGACTGTAATGTTGACTGTCTGAATTCTTAAACTAAAGCAACTGTATGTACTTGTATTTTTGTGACTTTGGAGCCTCCTACAGTTAAGTGAGTTTAATCCGCTGGCATAAATATAGTGCTGTGTAGCTGTACACATGCATTTGTTGCTGCTTTAAAACAATCCGCTATTTTTACAGAATTTGGAGGGAACTTGAGAAAGAAACAGAAGCCATTCACCTTATTGTACCATCAGAATGATTTTGAAACTGATATAAAAATATACAGTTGCTTTAATGTAACCACAAGCTACAAAGAGATAAAGTTGAGAACTAAATGTGTATTATTAGTGCCATTTAGATATGTTGTCACATTAAAACATTTATTTCATCACGGGAATGACTTTGTCAAGTTTGTACACAATGTTGTGTCTGCCTCATAAGACCAGAAAATAGGGGGAAAAGTGTGCTTTGTGTGTGGATATAGTATGGAGTTAGGAACACACATAAAGCCAGAAAGAGTGGGATTAAAACTCCACACAAGGCTAAACTTGCACAGAAATTGTTTTTTTATTCTGTGTTGAAAATGCATTCTGTTCCACCTCATAATTGGCTTTAAAAGCACGCATGCATTTTTGGTCGTCATGGGAGTTCTCAGTGCATTATACAGAAGTGAACGCACCCAGAACCACATTAACTTAATTATGATTCGTCTAAAATCAATCCAACATCACTTTAACCATTATACATCTCCCTCCTATACTTCATGCTCTCTCCCCACTTCCTCCAAGCATTATGGTCTGTCAGTGGGAGAAAGCCCTCATCCGGTCAGGAAAGCTCTGTTTCAGACCGATCAATACGTAACAGACCCACAAACATCTCAGCTTGATATCAAACTCCTGCTGCAGCAGAAGCCAGAGCTGTACACATCTGTGAGCATCTTCCAGATTAAACTGTACGTTCATATGCACAAGAATACTGTAAGTGCAGGCTCGCTTTATTTCGCTTTTATTTCGATCCGCTTGTGTAAAAAGCTGTGCTTGAAACGGGTCCAGGAACAGCGCAGGGCGGCGCCAGATAGAAAAGATTTTTAAAGAAGCATTCATTTCAATAAAAGTGAGGGTAAAGACATTTATTATGTTACAAAAGATTTCTATTTGAACTTTCTATTTATAAACAAGTCCATAAAAATATATCGTATTTCCACAAAAATATCAAGAAATGTTTGTTGAGCAGCAGATCAGCATATTATACTGATTTCTGAAGATCATGTGACACTGAAGACTGGAGGAATGATGCTGAAAATACAGCTGCGCATCACAGAAATACATTACAGTTTAAAAAGTATTACAGCAGAAGCCAGCTATTTTAATGAAGCCAGCTCTGCTCTGCTTTGCTTTGCTTTGCTTTGCTTTACTTTGTCATCCAGTACATGAAAATCTAAGGTGTAAGGCTGATTGTAATAGCCTCAAAAGCACTATTAATTGTTTTGAATCAGGCTCATACTGTAGTCCATCCTAAACTCACACTTGAGTCTGGGCTCTTCAAACAACACTTTTGAGAGATGAACTTATGAGTGTCTTACTTATTATTGCCTGTGCAGATTAAACCAGGATAATAAACCAGAAAATGTTTAACACCAAAGAAAATTCCATCACCTTTTAAGCACAAAAGTTCAGACGTGCTTAAATATTCAGTTCAGGTGTTGTTTTTTGTCCAGGCTGAAGGACCATTTATTTAACATAGGAATAAGATTGAATTGAAAAAATAAAAGCTAATGGGGCTTGTGGTCTTAGATCACTTGCTATCTGTCATAAATCCCGTAACAGCATCATCTTCACTCAAGTCGGTTTTAGTCATGAATCTTAAATAGATCTTCCTCGACTAAACAAGCAAACTAATCGATCAGATTTGCTAATGCACATAAAGAACTGCTGTATACATATCGCTGTCAGCACTATTTACGGGGTGTGCTTGGATGCATGATGGTTAGACTGGGTGTGGTGGGCAGAAATACTTATCTAGCATTCACAGACCTGTCCATGTGTGCATATGCATGTGTGTCTATTATTAATACGTGCCTGTATGTCCTCATATGCACACTGGTGTTGCTGTAAAACCATAAAGAGCACTCAGAATGGAGGGAACGTGTTGAATGAAGGACAGAAGTGAAGAGGTCAATCCATTCTCGCTTTCTCTGTTGTGGACTGTACTGGAACTCAAATATTCCTCCAGTTGTTTGTTTGCGTATGTTCACCAGTGTATTGTTTTATCTGGGTTTATATTTGTGCTGCGTTCAGCTTTTCAATATGTGGGCAGTTGACATTATTTAATGCTTCATGTAAAACTTAAACAACCTTTTTTGTTCTTGTAGAATTATCACAGTGCTTACAAGGTACAACTGTATTGATATTCCTCAAATACTCTAGTTCTTAATTCTTATCAATTCCTGTTCTTCAGTATTAAACATCTGCAGTTAATTCTGCTTAACGCAAACAACTCTATTCAGACTTTCAGCTGTCTGTTGTTCGTGTTGCTGACTTGTTAAGAAGAGTATTGCTTTAGTTATTCTTGCATATATATTTGGCCATGTACAGACTGTCGTGGTATGTGTTGATTATCATGTAGAAAAGTAAAAGTTAAGAAAAGGCTTTGAAAGAAGACTCTAATGCAGTGTTTCATTTGCATATAACAAAGCCTTAAAAGGTTAACTTCAATACTTATTTTCTAGATTGAAGCACTGCTGTTTTCTTGAGAAAATGCTCATCTGGTTACTGTATACATTAGGTTTTTTGGACTATACTCTACTGTTCAAAACGTTTTTTTAAAAGAGATGAATACTTTTATTTAGCAAGGACGCTTTAATTTGATCAAAAGTGTCAGTAAAACCTTTTACATTGTTACAGAAAATTATTTCAAATAAATGCTCTTCCAAAACCTTTGTTCATTAAAAACATGTATCGCAGTTTCCACAAAAATATTTCTTTCAACATTGATAATAATCAGAAATGTTTCTCGAGCAGCAGATCAGCATATTATACTGATTTCTGAAGATCATGTGACACTGAAGACTGGAGGAATGATGCTGAAAATACAGCTGCACATCACAGAAATAAATTATATTTTAACAGATACTGAAATAAAAAGCAGTTCTTTGAAATTGTAATAATATTTCACAATTTTACTGTTTTTACTGTATTTTTTATTAAATGAATGCAGGTTTGGTGAGCATAATGGACTGCTTAAAAAAAACATTTAAAAAAATCTTAACCAAAACATTTTCATGCTACTTTTTTAAAATTCATGCATCACACACAAACAAAAATGATACTATATTTTTTAAGGTAAGTGGTTGCAAACAATTTATTTTAGCTACATTTAAATAAAAAAAATGTTGAAAGTTAGTCAACTGTTTATTTAAATGTAGCTTACATAAACTGATTACAACCACTTACCTTAAAAAAATTAGTAATTTTAATTAATCTTTTTTTTTCCCAGTGCACTGCATTTCAATGTGAAATGTGAAAGGGCCAAAAACATATTAGCAGTTGCATTCTGTAATGATAACACAAAATGTTCACCTCACATGCTGCTTTCTGAACAAATTCATGGTTATTTACCAGCTATGTGCACAAAGTGCGTTTCCCTTTATTTGTGTGTATTGTGAATGTGATTTGTGTGTTTTAGTCCTTCAGAGAGGAGCTGGATGTGTTGATTCAGGAGCAGATGAATAAAGGAGGAAGCTCCTCTAATCTGTGGGCTCTTAGACAGATCGCAGACTTCATGGCCACTCACGGATCCCCGGCCTCGCTGCCCGTCTCTCAGTCCAGTATGTAATGATTTACTAATGATTTACTAAAGCAATGCGCCCCGTGAATTTACAGTGAATTTATAACAGCTAAGGGGCGTTGTTAGACACGACGTGAAGCGTAGAAACCCCTTTAGCTGTTATAAATTCATTGTAAACCCCGGCTTCACTGGGGTTATTGCTTTTATAAAACGGTTATTCCATATACGTAGTTAGGTTTCACAAAATAAAACAGAGCAAATAAAGTGTAATGATATTAATAAACACAGTGTTCTTCCACCAAACAATGTAGCTCCTCAGAAACAGTTGTGGTTGCTACAAAGTGGTTGCCGAGCAACACACAAACGTAAACAAAGGTGTGTGTTACTTTGTAGCGTCATTTACAACAGCTTCGAACGCGGCTCAGCCAATCAGAGTCAAGCACCGGAACCATCTGTTTTATAAATTATATAAATAATAATAAATATATTATTGCTTGTGTTTCAGAGATAAAGCCTGATGTGTTTGCATGTTTCATGTAAATACAGTATGTCTTCCTCTGCTTAGTGATTTTTTCACTTGTGAAATCATGCATATTGTTGTTAAATATAAGACAAAAAATGATTCTTACTTTTAAAAAAAAAAGAAGTATATTTATTGTCCAGTGAGAGGTTTATGGAAGCTTGTTTCTGTCACAGAATAAAATCATTAAAAAGGTGTTTGCACAGTTTTATCTCACAAGTGAACAAGTGTCTCGCAAATGCAAATTTTCTTTTGTTTCCTCCACACAATAAAAGATGAAATAGAACTTATATCACAATTCTGACATTTGTCTTGCAGTTGCAAGTTTATATCTCACAATTCAGACTTTTCAGTAACACTTTATTTTTAGGAGCTATTCTCGCTATTAACTAGTTGCTTATTATAATGCATATGAATATTGACTGTTTATTAGTACTTATAAAGCACATATTAATGCCTTATTCTGCGTGACCATATTTTACAGCCAATTAGGAGTTTATTGAGGGAAAAGTTATAGTTAATAGTGAATATGTGTTTCCTATCCTAAAGTGTTACTGACTTTTCTTCTCAGAATTCATTGCAAAAAGCACTTTTCTTACTTAGATTTTTTTGTCTTGTTTCCAGCCAAAATATCTAAAAACTCTTAAATCAAGTAGATTCAAACAGAAAACAAAACGTTGGCTGTTTCTTTTTCTGAAAACAAGACAATAATTTTTACTTGTCTAGAAAATCTTTCTTGATTTAAGAATTTATAGATATTTTGGCTGGAAACAAGAACAAAAAATCTAAGTAAGAAAAGCATTTTTTTTGCAGTGTTGCTGGTTAATATCTCTCAATTCTGAGTTTATATTGTGCAACTATAAATTGCTTGAAAAAAGTCAGAATTGTGAGATTATAAAGTAAATTTTTGAATCCCGTGACAAAAACAAGCTTCCATGGAGTTTGTGTTCCATTCATCATTCATTCACGTAACATGTGTGTCCCTGGAGCACAAAACCAGTCATAAGGGTCAATTTTGGGAAATTGAGATGTATACATCATCTGAAAGCTGAATAAATAAGCTTAACATTGATGTAACAAAAAATCTAAGTAAGAAAAGCTTTTTTTTTGCAGTGTTGCTGGTTAATATCTCTCAATTCTGAGTTTATATTGTGCAACTATAAATTGCATGAAAAAAGTCAGAATTGTGAGATTATAAAGTAAATTTTTGAATCCCGTGACAAAAACAAGCTTCCATGGAGTTTGTGTTCCATTCATCATTCATTCACGTAACATGTGTGACCCTGGAGCACAAAAGCAGTCATAAGGGTCAATTTTGGGAAATTGAGATTTATGCATCATCTGAAAGCTGAATAAATAAGCTTTCCATTGATGTATGGTTTGTTAGGATCGGACAATATTTGAAAATCTGGAATCTGAGGGTGCAAAAAAATCTAAATATTGAGAAAATCATCTTTAAAGTTGTTCAAATGAAGTTCTTAGCAATGCATATTACTAATCAAACATTAAGTTTTAATATATTTACGGTAGGAGATGTACAAAATATCTTCATGTAACCTGATCTTTACTTAATATCCTAATGATTTTTGGCATAAAAGAAAAATCGTTGTTGGTTGTTGGCTATTGCTACAAATATCCCCCAGCGACTTAACACTGCTTTTGAGCTCCAGGGTCACATTTATCATCATTTTCCCATTCAGACACTTACAAGTAGGGGGAGTTTTAGTTTTAGTTTCAAACTTAATGAATGTTGCACCACTTAAACTGCAGCAGACAAACTCCTTTTAAACACAAAGCCCTTCTGTTGGTTTTGTTGCTCGTGTCTGTTCAGCCGTGAGCATGGTGACCCCCATTAACGATCTGCACGGATGGGACCCGGGCTCCATGGTGAAGGGCGAGAGACTGATGCGCTGCAAACTGGCCAGTGTTCACCGTCTGCTGGATCTGTACGGCTGGACACAGCTGCCCAACACCTGCCTCACAGTAAGAAACGCCTTCGGTCAGCATGCCAAGACTCACGCATTACAAGTAATGTGAGTTACGTAATCAGATTACTTTTTAAAGTAACTAGTAAAGTTACACATTACACATAAAACACAAAAAGTAACACTTTTAGTTTAGAAGGAAATATCTGAGTTACTTTTTCAAATAAATAACTCCAGTTACTTTGTTTCCCAGATTTAAAAAGTAACTCAAAAGTAACGTAACGCATTACTTTCCATAAAAAGTAACCAAGTAACCTAATTAGTTACTTTTTAGGGAGTAACGCAATATTGTAATGCATTACTTTTAAAAGTAACTTTCCCCAACACTGGTGCTCACTACACACTCATCCGAACGGGTAAACCGAGAGGGTAACACTTTACTTTAAGGTGTCCTTGTTACATATGTTACATGTGCTCACTATTATAATAACAATAAATTGTGCATAATTACATGCAAGTAACACTAATCCTAACCCTAACCATATAGTAAGTACATGTAGTTAATTAATATCACTCAGTACTTAAATGTATAATTACACTGTAACAAGGACACCTTAAACTAAAGTGTAACCACTGAATGTAATGAAGACTGAAAATACATGTTTCTGAAAGAAGCCTATATTTGACCGAAATACAGTAAAAACAGAAATAATGTGAAGTATCATAAATATATGTTTTCTGTTTTAAATATATTTTAAAATGTAATTGATTGCTGTGATCAAAGCTGAATTTTCAGTTATTATTCAATGTCACATGTTCATATGCAGATCAGATGCGTCCTTTGTGAATAAAAATAATTTCTTTCAAAAGAAGTCTTTCTGACCCCAAACGTTTGAGCAGTAGCGTATTTGTCTTCTTAAACTGTTATGTAACTCAAGCTTATACTGGCCAGTGTTCACCGTCTGCTGGATCTGTACGGCTGGACACAGCTGCCCAACACCTGCCTCACAGTAAGAAACGCCTTCGGTCAGCATGCCAAGACTCACGCATTACAAGTAATGTGAGTTACGTAATCAGATTACTTTTTAAAGTAACTAGTAAAGTTACACATTACACATAAAACACAAAAAGTAACACTTTTAGTTTAGAAGGAAATATCTGAGTTACTTTTTCAAATAAATAACTCCAGTTACTTTGTTTCCCAGATTTAAAAAGTAACTCAAAAGTAACGTAACGCATTACTTTCCATAAAAAGTAACCAAGTAACCTAATTAGTTACTTTTTAGGGAGTAACGCAATATTGTAATGCATTACTTTTAAAAGTAACTTTCCCCAACACTGGTGCTCACTACACACTCATCCGAACGGGTAAACCGAGAGGGTAACACTTTACTTTAAGGTGTCCTTGTTACATATGTTACATGTGCTCACTATTATAATAACAATAAATTGTGCATAATTACATGCAAGTAACACTAATCCTAACCCTAACCATATAGTAAGTACATGTAGTTAATTAATATCACTCAGTACTTAAATGTATAATTACACTGTAACAAGGACACCTTAAACTAAAGTGTAACCACTGAATGTAATGAAGACTGAAAATACATGTTTCTGAAAGAAGCCTATATTTGACCGAAATACAGTAAAAACAGAAATAATGTGAAATATCATAAATATATGTTTTCTGTTTTAAATATATTTTAAAATGTAATTGATTGCTGTGATCAAAGCTGAATTTTCAGTTATTATTCAATGTCACATGTTCATATGCAGATCAGATGCGTCCTTTGTGAATAAAAATAATTTCTTTCAAAAGAAGTCTTTCTGACCCCAAACGTTTGAGCAGTAGCGTATTTGTCTTCTTAAACTGTTATGTAACTCAAGCTTATGATAATACTAAATTCACATATAGTGCACTTTAAATAACGTCACACAGCTGCCAGTCTGTCACTCCGAATGGAAATTAAGCTAATTTTTGCTGCATTTACTTTAGCATACTTATTCATATTTCTCTCTCTCCTTCGCTGAGTCTTTAGGGATTTAAGAGCCTATCCTAACAGGAAGGGATTTTGAGATCAAGTCTATCCATATTTATTTATCTACGAGGTGTGTGAAAACACATAAATGACAAGCATTATTTTATTTTTGATTTAAATTTTTTTTAGATCAAGTCTGGTAACGAGGTTGCTGCTTTGCTTTTCTCAAGACGTATGAAGATCAAAACTCGTAAAGGGATAGTTCACTCAAAAATGAAAGATACTCACCCTCATTGCGTTTTAAACTCTTAGGGCTTATTTTCTTCAGAGAAATTAAGTAGACTATTTTGTATTTCAAAAGAAGTCTTTCTGACCCCAAACATTTGAGCAGTAGCGTATTTGTCTTCTTAAACTGTTATGTAACTCAAGCTTATGATAATACTAAATTCACATATAGTGCACTTTAAATAACATCACACAGCTGCCAGTCTGTCACTCCGAATGGAAATTAAGCTAATTTTTGCTGCATTTACTTTAGCATACTTATTCATTTTTCTCTCTCACCTTCGCTGAGTCTTTAGGGATTTAAGAGCATATCCTAACAGGAAGGGATGGAAGGGATTTTGAGATCAAGTCTATCCATATTTATTTATCTACGAGGTGTGTGAAAACACATAAATGACAAGCATTATTTTATTTTTTTTAGATCAAGTCTGGTAACGAGGTTGCTGCTTTGCTTTTCTCAAGACGTATGAAGATCAAAACTCGTAAAGGGATAGTTCACTCAAAAATGAAAGATACTCACCCTCATTGCGTTTTAAACTCTTAGGGCTTATTTTCTTCAGAGAAATTAAGTAGACTATTTTGTTCCTTACAAGTTATGTGACTAAACAACATGACTGCATTATAAAAGTTAGGATTTGTACGCTATAGTCCAAATATAGCTTTGTCTGAACACAAATATGATTCAGCATCTCATATCATCATAGGAGACTCTAACACCAATCCGGTTCCTCCTTATGAGAGCCTTTCTCTGGGAAAAGCATTCAAATGAAGGTCACCAGTTTGAGAGTTTGAGATGTTTGCTGATAAAACTGAAATGTCAGCATGTTCTGGGCATATATACTGTTGCAAAAATAAGGCACTAGAAGATGTTACTCATGAAAATATTTCTCGTTTTCATGCATGTGTACAAACTGCATCCAGAATGGTCACTTTGTAATGGATAAAATAAGAAACAATGCAGTTCACAGTTATACTAAAGCGAAAATGCAGCAATTGAATTTTTATACAGTGGTGGCCAAAATGCTTAGAACACTGGTTTCACTATTTTTTTTTCTTTTTAAATATATTGAAAGATGATGGGAAAGTAGTAAATGATGCAGTTGGACCTCGTCTTCATTGAAGCTTGCGCTCTCTCCAGGTGAAGGTGAATATTCTGGGCGAGGTTGTGGAGAAAGGCAGCACTGCTCTGGGAGTGGATCTGTCTGCGTTTGCTCTGCATTCTGCCGTCTATTCAGCTCGACCGGACATCCGCTGCCTTCTGCACCTCCACACTCCAGCCACGGCTGCGGTACACCACCTCTTCACTCTCTGTGGAGCGCTGCTTTCTACAGTCTCTCTGATCAAGACCTATCAGATTATGCAACATTTAACAATTATACTAAATTAAATACTAGTTTGTTTTTATTAGTTGTTTAATGTTTACATGTCATATATTACTTTCTTTTCTATCTACCTATCCATATTTATTTATCTACCAGGTTTGTGAAACACATAAATGAAAAGCATTTATTGTATTTTATTTTATTTTTGTATCCCCGAGGTTTGTGAAACATAAATTATTTTTGTGTATTTATTTATTTATATCACAATATTTTGAAAAACATAAATTACTCATTTGTATTTTATTTTATTTTTTTATATATGTATATATTACAAAAAATTTGTAAAATAATTATTTAATATTATTATTATTATTATAGATGCATTGGCTCAAATCACTTACAGATCTGAGAGTTGTCAATTGTTAATCTCTGGGAAAAGCATTCAAATGAAGGTCACCAGTTTGAGATTGTGTATTGTTTGCTGATAAAAACTGAAATGTCAGCATGTTCTGGGCATATATACTGTTGCAAAAATAAGGCACTAGAAGATGTTACTCATGAAAATATTTCTCGTTTTCATGCATGTGTACAAACTGCATCCAGAATGGTCACTTTGTAATGGATAAAATAAGAAACAATGCAGTTCACAGTTATACTAAAGCGAAAATGCAGCAATTTAATTTTTATACAGTGGTGGCCAAAATGCTTAGAACACTGGTTTCACTATTTTTTTTTCTTTTTAAATATATTGAAAGATGATGGGAAAGTAGTAAATGATGCAGTTGGACCTCATCTTCATTGAAGCTTGCGCTCTCTCCAGGTGAAGGTGAATATTCTGGGCGAGGTTGTGGAGAAAGGCAGCACTGCTCTGGGAGTGGATCTGTCTGCGTTTGCTCTGCATTCTGCCGTCTATTCAGCTCGACCGGACATCCGCTGCCTTCTGCACCTCCACACTCCAGCCACGGCTGCGGTACACCACCTCTTCACTCTCTGTGGAGCGCTGCTTTCTACAGTCTCTCTGATCAAGACCTATCAGATTATGCAACATTTAACAATTATACTAAATTAAATACTAGTTTGTTTTTATTAGTTGTTTAATGTTTACATGTCATAAATTACTTTCTTTTCTATCTACCTATCCATATTTATTTATCTACCAGGTTTGTGAAACACATAAATGAAAAGCATTTATTGTATTTTATTTTATTTTTGTATCCCCGAGGTTTGTGAAACATAAATTATTTTTGTGTATTTATTTATTTATATCACAATATTTTGAAAAACATAAATTACTCATTTGTATTTTATTTTATTTTTTTATATATGTATATATTACAAAAAATTTGTAAAATAATTATTTAATATTATTATTATTATTATAGATGCATTGGCTCAAATCACTTACAGATCTGAGAGTTGTCAATTGTTAAAGTCATAAAATGATTTAAGTAGCACTTTTTCCTGCCATTCACACATTCTCTCAATCTTAAAATGTGTTTTTTATTATTCTAGCACTGATCAACTCCTGTAACTAACACTATTAATCTTTCATGTAGGTATCAGCCATGAAATGTGGCCTTCTGCTGCTATCCCATGAGGCTTTGCTGGTGGGCGATGTAGCTTATTATGACTATAATGGAGTGATGGAGGAAGAAGAGGACAGAGTGGAGCTCCAGAAGAGCCTCGGCCCGACATGCAAGGTCTGATCATAGATTATAGGCAGTGCATGCTGGGTTCCCACGGGTCCTTGAAAGTTTGTGAATCTGAAAAAAAAATGTCAAGACCCTGGAAAGTTTTTAAAAATAAACGTACATAGATACAGGTCCTTGAAAGTGCTTGAATTTATATTATATGAATACGTTTTCTGGAAAAAATTCCATATTATTCCCTCCGGTCCGTTAATGTGTTATTTCGCCAACACTTTGTGGCCTATGCATACTAGCTTGCTTGATATACGTTAGTTACGCGCATTTTACGCGTTACGTTAAGGGTTTCCCGCGTGAGATACTTGGTGTTGTATATGGCAAGCCAAAAGAGTCAGAATTAAATTTATGCCATTAAATACGGCGTTTTTTTACCATTTACGCATGTTTTTTATCGCGTCTGCTATCAGGACGGTGTATTTGACGGCACTAATGCTGTTTTAAACGCTGGAAAAAACTGCGTTTTGTATGTAAATTTATCTATAGCATAATTCTGACTCTTTTGGCTTGCCATAGTTGTACGTTGCAATGACGTTCACGCGCGCACGAAACTACTACAATGTTACCTTAACGTTTCACAGACACACCGTGAAATTAATGTTGAATTGCTTTGCTTGTTAAGATAATGTTAACCCATGAGGCAAGAAAAACTTAAAAGCATATTCATATATCTTAAAACTTCTGGTTACATGAGCCTGAGCTCTTTTCAATAAAATCCTAAGATCATTTTAGAATACAGTATAGGATGTACCGAATATTCTTCAGTTTTATGCAAAACAGAAATACGACAAATAGAATATTAGATCTCTGTCATATGGCCAAAAATACATGCAAAAATAAAATAAAATGCTTTTTTCTGCATAGTTGTGTTTGACACGTGAAAACTGTAACAATGTATCTTACAAGGTAACACGGTGTAACCTTGATCTCACTTGAAATGTGTCCCCACATTAAGTCCATGAATTTGAGGGTACTGAACCTGGAAAATCCTTCAAAGGTCCTAGAATTTTAAGTTAACCAAGGTGTGGGAACCCTGTGCATGTTCTGTTCCCTCAGAAGATGATGTGAGGCTCTGAAGGTTGTGAAGGGCTTGATGAAGTATTCCTGCACTGCGAAACATCTGTCTGACTCTAATAGCTGCGATTCTACAGGTGCTGGTGTTGAGGAACCATGGCATCGTGGCACTGGGAGAGTCAGTGGAGGAGGCCTTTTACACAATCTACCACATCCAGACCGCCTGTCAAATACAGGTAGGCAAAACATTCCTTCCCGTGAGGACAAAATATGGAAGAGTAGATTAGTGGGACAGAGTAAAGAGAGAGGACGCTAGTGTTCAGAGTCAGCCACCGGAAACCCAGAAAAATTCATATTTGTTGTATAAATATAAATATTAGTATATGTATAATATATGTAAATATGTATATTATAAATAAATGTTTATAGTAAATACACAATACCTTTCAAAACTTAAGGTTAGGTCAGTAAGGTTTGTAAATGTTTTTTTAAAAACTCTCTTATGTTTCAGGGCTGCATTTATTTGATCAAAAATACAGTAAAAACAGTCAAATATTATTATAATTTAAAATTACCTTTTTTATTTCAGTATATCTTAAAATTGTATTTATTCCTGTGATGCGCAGCTGTATTTTCAGCATCATTCCTCCAGTCTTCAGCGTCACATGATCTTCAGAAATCAGTATAATATGCTGATCTGCTGCTCAAGAAACATTTCTGATTATTATCAATGTTGAAATCCATGCATTTGTGGAAACAGTAAATTTTTCAGGATTATTTGTTTAAAATAACAGCATTTATTTGAAATAAAAGTCTGTAAAAAAAAACCTGTCAATTTTTTATAAATGTAATGCATCCTTGCTGAATAAAAGTATTGATTTATTTAAAAAAAACTTTTTGAATAGTAGTGTAAATATTTATAGTAAATATACGTTTTTCTATTTTTCATATACAGTATATTTAATCAGCTGCATATAATGAGATCATGTAGACTAAAAATACCAATGTAAAGCATGTGATAAGACTGTCAGTTGAAGGTCTTATTGCTGATATTTGTATACTAATTAGTGTAATGATTTGAATCTACTAATTCAAACAATTTGCACATGGCATACCACTGAAAATCTGCTTTAGCCATCTGTATAACAGTTTTAAAGGACTCCATAAATGACTGGAAAGGTCATGGAAATCCATTGTGAACCATGAGAGAGAGACAACAAAAGGATTGTGAAAACTGAAGAAAAAAAAGTGCACAGGGTGAGAATAGTAATATTCAGTGTTGGGAAAGTTACTTTTAAAAGTAATGCATTACAATATTGTGTTACTCCCTAAAGAAGTTGCTTAGTTGCTTTTTATGGAAAGTAGTGCGTTATGTTACTTTTGAGTTACGTTTTAAATCTGGGCAGGGCTTGCTTGTTTTTTTATATAAAAAATGTCTTCTTTTACTAATGTAAATGCTCTTTCACATCAAAAGTGAAATTAATAAGCCTCAAGCCGAAGGAAATGTAAATTCACGTCTGTACAGTAGAGGGCGCCACTCAAACAAACTGCATGAAGAATATGACGCAGGAGAATAAAGTTCAACACTATTCAGCAATAACACAAACGAAACACAAATGTGTTATTTTATTTTATAATAAATATCGTATCGTGGACTTCATATCGTGATATTATCGTATCGTGAGATTTTGATATTGTTAAAGCCCTACGACTCATTTAAATATCGCAATAAATATCGTATCGTGGACTGCATATCGTGATATTATCGTATCGTGAGATTTTGATATCGTTACATCCCTATGACTCGTTTAAATATCTTAATAAATACTGAATCGTGGACTTCCTATCGTGATATTATCGTATAGTGAGATTTTGATATTGTTACATCCCTATGACTCGTTTAAATATCACAATTAATATCCTATCGTGGACTTCATATTGTGAGATTTTGATATCGTTACATCCCTATAACTCATTTAAATATTGCAATAAATATCGTATCGTGGACTTCATATCGTCATATTATCGTATAGTGAGATTTTGATATCGTTACATCCCTATAACTCGTTTACATATTGCAATAAATATCGTATCGTGGACTTCATATCGTGAGATTATCGTATCGTGAGGTTTTGATATCGTTACATCCCATGACTCATTTAAATATCGCAATAAATATCGTATCGTGGACTTCATATCGTCATATTATCGTATAGTGAGATTTTGATATCGTTACATCCCTATAACTCGTTTAAATATCGCAATAAATATCGTATCGTGGACTTCATATCTTTTATATCGTTACATCCCTATAACTCGTTTACATATTGCAATAAACATTGTATCGTGGACTTCATATCGTGAGATTATCGTATCGTGAGATTTTGATATCGTTACATCCCTATAACTCGTTTACATATTGCAATAAACATTGTATCGTGGACTTCATATCATGATATTATCGTATCGTGAGATTTTGATATCGTTACATCCCTATAACTCGTTTACATATTGCAATAAACATTGTATCGTGGACTTCATATCATGATATTATCGTATCGTGAGATTTTGATATCGTTACATCCCTATAACTCGTTTACATATTGCAATAAACATTGTATCGTGGACTTCATATCATGATATTATCGTATCGTGAGATTTTGATATCGTTACATCCCTATAACTCGTTTACATATTGCAATAAACATTGTATCGTGGACTTCATATCATGATATTATCGTATCGTGAGATTTTGATATCGTTACATCCCTATAACTCGTTTACATATTGCAATAAACATTGTATCGTGGACTTCATATCATGATATTATCGTATCGTGAGATTTTGATATCGTTACATCCCTATAACTCGTTTACATATTGCAATAAACATTGTATCGTGGACTTCATATCGTGAGATTATCATATCGTGAGATTTTGATACCGTTACATCCCTACAACTCGTTTAAATATTGCAATATATCGTATTGTGATATTGTAATATTGTGAGATTTTTATATCATTACATCCCTATAACTCGTTTAAATATCTTAATAAATACTGAATCGTGGACTTCCTATCGTGATATTATCGTATAGTGAGATTTTGATATTGTTACATCCCTATGACTCGTTTAAATATCACAATTAATATCCTATCGTGGACTTCATATTGTGAGATTTTGATATCGTTACATCCCTATAACTCGTTTAAATATCTTAATAAATACTGAATCGTGGACTTCCTATCGTGATATTATCGTATCGTGAGATTTTGATATCGTTACATCCCATGACTCATTTAAATATCGCAATAAATATCGTATCGTGGCCTTCATATCGTCATATTATCGTATAGTGAGATTTTGATATCGTTACATCCCTATGACTCGTTTAAATATCCAATAAATATCGTATCGTGGCCTTCATATCGTCATATTATCGTATAGTGAGATTTTGATATCGTTACATCCCATGACTCATTTAAATATCGCAATAAATATCGTATCGTGGGAGATTTTGATACCGTTACATCCCTACAACTCGTTTAAATATTGCAATATATCGTATTGTGATATTGTAATATTGTGAGATTTTGATATCATTACATCCCTATAACTCGTTTAAATATTGCAATAAATATTGTATCATGAACTTCATATCGTGATATTCTCGTATCGTGAGATTTTGATATTATTACATCCCTATAACTCGTTTAAATATCGCAATAAATATCATATCGTGGACTTCATATCGGGATATTATCGTATCGTGAGATTTTGATATCGATATTTTGTAATGCGTTACCCCAACACTGTTCGTATTGTTGGCTGAAGTGAATCTGCAGAATGCAGTCCTTCCACACTGATGGAGTCACGCTGCATTGCTCTGCTGTTCTTGGCAGGTGGCAGCACTGTGCAGCGCTGGAGGAGAACAGAACCTGATCATGCTGGACCGCAGCGTTCACCGGCCCGTCGCCACAGGCACTGTGGGTTGGGCCGGATCCACCTTCGGCCCCATGCACAAGAGCAGGCTGGGAGAACATGAGTTTGAAGCATTGATGAGGACGCTGGACAATCTGGTTAGACTAGAATAGTGTAACCTTTGACCACAAAACCAGTCTTGAGGATCAATTTTTTTAAATTGAGACTTATACATCATCTGAAAGCTGAATAAATAAGCTTTCCGTTGATGTATGGTTTGTTAGGATAGGATAATACTTGGCCGAGATTAAGGTTGGGTATCATTTGAATTTTAACAATTCCGATTCTTATCTATTCCCAGTTTTGAGTCCAATGTGGTAAAAAAAATGAAGTCAAACATTTAGTTATCAAACATATTTATTCTGTGTCTCTTTTTGCAAAACATTTAATTGCTGCTGAATACTATGAACACAAATCAGCCGGCTACATAAAAACTGGACTCGATTAAGAGCTGTTTGTGTGAAAAATAGTGCTGCACGATTCTGGATAAATTGAGACTTTTTTGTGTGTGTGTGTGTTTGATGTTGTGGTACTCTCACAATTCTGAAGAAAAAACATAAGGCAACTAAACAAAATCTCATGGAATTCATGCATGGAATGATTCAATGACTCACTCAAGATTTACTTGTTTCATTACTGGATGATTCAGTGTTTTTGAATGAATTTCTTGAATGAATGATTCAAAGACAAATACATTTTTAACAGCCCCTTTTCGCCACCTAAAAAAAAGGAATTGATAGGCGGAATTGAATTTTTAATTTTACAACAAGTATCCAATTCCTGATCTTAAGTATCCGATTCTCGAATTGAAATAGATTTTTGATTCCCAACCCTTGCTGAGACGCAACTATTTGAAAATCTGGAATCTGAGGGTGCAAAAAAAATCAAAATGAAAATCGCCTTTAAAGTTGTCCAAATGAAGTTCTTAGCAATGCATATTACTAATTAAAAATTAAGTTTTGATGGGTGGGAAATTTACAAAATATCCTAATGAGTTTTGGCATAAAAGAAAAATTCCGCATATTTTCCGGGATTTGTGATATCGACGAAAGGGACGAGACCTGGTTGAGCTGCACTAGAGAAGGCAACGAGTGTTATCACTGTGTCGGAGACACGCTAGCTTTCCCAAGCCAGACGAACTTAGAGTGGTTACAATCATCCGGGTTTAAATCACGCTCAAATTGATTTGATTTTGACACAATATTTACACTGAATACAATATTTACAGCTAACCGATCACAGCACACGCCGGCCCAGCTAACCAATCACAGCACATTTCGTATTTCAGAAGGCGGTATTTGATACAGGAACTATTCCAGCCATTCGTGCCAGACTGGGGAGAGAGGTGTTGTAATAATGTAAAATATGTGAAAAATAATGTGTTTTTCGAACAAAACAAAATCAAGACTTTGTAAAAGAGCATAATAGGACCCCTTTAAGGTTTAGGGATTCAAACACACTGCTACATAGTGTGCGCATTGCAAGAGTAATTCACCCAAAATGAACATTTTCTGAAAATGTCATCCCAGATATAGATGAGTTTGTTTCTTCATCAGGTTTGTAGAAATGTAGCATTGCATCAGTGTCTCAGCAATGGATGCTCTGCAGTGAATGGGTGCCGTCAGAATGAGAGTCCAAACAGCTGATAAAAACATCACAATAATCCACAGCACTCCAGTCCATCAGTTAACATCTGGAGAAGACAAAAGCTGAGTGTTTGATAAAAGAAATCCACCTTTAAGACGTTTTTAACTTTAAACCATTGCTTCCAGCTAAAATATGCATCTTCACAGATCAAGCACCGCTTACAAGAGAAAAAGGTCCAAAACATCTCTAAACAAATATGTAGCTGGATTTTGATGTGAGAGACAGCAGGAGATGGACTTTTTCATGGGAGGAAGCGCTATTATGGATTATGGAATCATATTTTGGAAGCAAGCAATGGTTTAAAGTTAAAACACGTGAATGTTTTGTTTCTTACAAACACACAGCTTTTGTCTTCTCCAGATGTTAACTGATGGACTGGAGTATTGTGATGTTTTTATAAGCTGTTTGGACTCTCATTCTGACGGCACCCATTCACTGCAGAGCAAGCGATGCAATGCTACATTTCTCCAAACCTGATGAAGAAACAAACTCATCCTGATCTTGGATGACCAGAGGGTGAGTAAGTTTTCAGCAAATTATAATTTTTGGGTGAACTCAGATCCCAACAACAACCTGGCCTTGTGGTGGTGAGTTTTGCAAAAGCATCGGTCAGATTTTCTTCAGAAAATGTAAGACAGTAGATGTAAGTCTCATTTCAGTCATGTATTTTTGAATGACTAGCCTGTGAGTGTGTTGCATTTCAGAAAATAGACTTACTGTGAATCATAGGATATTATTGGTAGGGTAATAGCGTACTCGTTAGATCACTGTGAGAGCACTACGGTTTCTCTCTGTCTCTTCTGCCATCTTCCACCCACCTCCCTTTCTCCTTCTCTGCAATGCCAGGGAGATGCTTGCACTGCCCTCTACTGGTTGTAGATCTGTTGCAAACGTCCCTATCATGTTTCTCCTAAATTGTCTGCTTTTTAACAGCCTTCCAGGTGTCTTCTGGGAATGTTTGACATGCATTTGGTCAATTAAACAGCTGAACTCTTTCTATATTGATTTCTCCTCTTTTAGTGGCAGAAGGCCGAGGAAATCATGCAGGGCAGTGGATGGGCCATTAAGATAGAGAATCCAAACCAGTTTGTCCCTCTGTTCACCAACCCACAGGAGGTGCTTGAGACTAGAAATAAGGTAGCTTTTGGGTGTTGACATCTGCAGATTTTATCGATGTAAAAACTGAAATCAGGGCATTTTTTTAAAACATCGTGCATCCTACTGTGAACAGCATGTGCATTTTGAGCGAATACACTACCAATGCTGATTAAACATACAGTGAAGCACGAAACATTATCGCAATTTAAACTTTAATATGTTTTTATTAATTTTATATTATTCAGACATTACTCCGGTCTTTAGTGTCATGAACCATCAGAACTAATTCTAATATTCTGACTTGCTGCTCAAGAAACATTTTTTTTATTATCATCACCGTTGAAAACAGTTGTTGTTTCATATTTTTGTGGAAATCATGATGCATTTTTTCAGGATTCTTTGATAGGTAGAAAGTTCAGAAGAACAATATTTATTTGAAATAGATTTTTTGGTAGCAATGCAACTGTCCAGACTTTTCAAGACATTTTTTATCATAATCAGTTACTATCAATATTATAATATAAGTATTACGGCACGGAATTGCAGTCTCACGAACAGTGTTTGTAGTGACAGAAGTGCTGTAACATGTAGTTTCAGTTGCACCATCAGGAACAAAGATCAGCGGATGCAGAGAGAGAGGAATAGAGTGAAGATTATTTACCTGTAAATAAGAATAGATGATTGTTCAGTCTGAGGAAGCTGCATACAATAAATGCAGATTTCATAAATGATATTTAAATATGCATTCATTACTTTTGCACAAAAGAGCAAGTACTTTAAAAAATAATCAACCACTTTTTAGACTGTAATAAATTAATTGCAATCATAATGATAAAACTGAATTAAGATCAAATTCTTTCATTGTTGTAAGAAGTTAACAATTTTGCTGTCAAACTTCCTGATTGAAATAAAAGCATGCATGACAGCAATAACTGTTCATGCAATGAGTTTGAAATATTACTTGTCAGATATGTGTAAGCTCTGTCTAATGCAACGGTTGTCTTCATAAGCGCAAAGGTCTTTGGCAGTTGGATGTTTTTTCCAGGGGAATGTTTAAGCTTGGGAGAACAGTAAAGCACACATGCATCACATTAGGCAGAGTCCTCTTCTGAGAGCAATGTAGAGGATGAAAACGCTGTTTGTATTTCAGATACGGGAGCAGAATCGCCAGGACATGAAAACAGCCGGACCTCGGTCTCAGGTGTTAGCCAGCGTCATCACAGACAACAGTCCACCGGTAAATCACAGCATGTCACTCAGTTCATATGTTATGTTCTCCAGGGTCACATATATATGTGTACACTTCTTATCTACAAGGTTTTCTTGTTTTGAAAAAAAAAAATGTATCAGATTATATCTATGGGTTAGGCTTGTTCTTCTTATCCCATTGTAAATTTTTTTTACTAATAAAATTGTTTTTTTTTTGCAACATGGACTTAGAAATTACGGCATGTTTAATACAGTTCTGATTTATAAAATAAGATATTTTAATCATACCCTACCCATGCATATGTTATGTTCTCCAGGGTCACATATATACTCATGTGTACACTTCTTATCTACAAGGTTTTCTTGTTTTGAAAAAAAAAAATGTATCAGATTATATCTATGGGTTAGGCTTGTTCTTCTTATCCCATTGTAAATTTTTTTTACTAATAAAATTGTTTTTTTTTTGCAACATGGACTTAGAAATTACGGCATGTTTAATACAGTTCTGATTTATAAAATAAGATATTTTAATCATACCCTACCCATGCATATCTGTAGTAATGAGCACGCTTCCCTGATCAGAAACTTTTGCATGTGGGCATGCATTCATTATGTGAACGTGATTGCTCTGCTTCCAGACTCCAGAAGCTGTGGGGCCTCCATCCGCTCCGGAGCCGGAGACTCCGAACCCCTTCAACAAACTGACGGATCGGGAGCTGGAGGAGTACCGCGAGGAGGTGCAGCGCAAGCAGGACGGTACGAGATGACAGTCTTAACAAGAGTAGTTTAGTCCCACATTCTCTTTTTGTAAGCCATTGATTTTTGGCCTAAATATTGATGCTTTATTGATTCTCCCACTGGATTAAAGAAGAGAATTCAATAAACACCCCATGTCTTATACAGTACATATCCTTAGACAAATATTGATTGGATGTCACATAGCTTTACTTTTTATTTTATTTCCTTAAAATAAGGATTTGGAAAAATATGTATGTTAATTGTGGAAATACAGAATGCGTGAATTTAATACTTTGAAGAGTGCCTTGAAAATGAATTAAAGTTTAATTGAATTTCAGTATCTTTCCAGAAACTTGAGGCTTTGTGTCCCAACATCATTTCTTCTTGGATCAGCACTGATTTTTCTCCACTGTGTCCTGTCTTTCTGAGCCTGACAACCTTCCCACACACACTAAAGTCCAAAACCTCCTTTACAGTTAATGCCATTGTTGGGGAACTATATGTGAGCCTGGAGCACAAAAGCAGTGTTGAGTCGCTGGGGGATATTTGTAGCAATAGCCAACAATACATTGTATGGGTCACAATTATACATTTCTCTTTTATGCCAAAAATCATTAGGATATTAAGTAAAGATCATGTTCCATGAAGATATTTTGTAAATATCCAAAACCTCCTTTACAGTTAATGCCATTGTTGGGGAACTATATGTGTCCCTGCAGCACAAAAGCAGTGTTAAGTCGCTGGGGGATATTTGTAGCAATAGCCAACAATACATTGTATGGGTCACAATTATACATTTCTCTTTTATGCCAAAAATCATTAGGATATTAAGTAAAGATCATGTTCCATGAAGATATTTAGTAAATCTCCTACCGTAAATATATCAAAACTTAATGTTTGATTAGTAATATGCATTGCTAAGAACTTCATTTGAACAACTTTAAAGATGATTTTCTCAATATTTAGATTTTTTTGCACCCTCAGATTCCAGATTTTCAAATAGTTGTATCTCAGCCAAATATTGTCCGATCCTAACAAACCATACATCAATGGAAAGATTATTTATTCAGCTTTCAGATGATATATAAATCTCCATTTCATAAAATTGACACTTATGACTTGGTTTGTGCTCCAGGGTCATATATATACTACAATGTGCATTTAAGTCTAGAAGAGAGAGAGAAACTGAAGGATAAACAGAGCGAAACAGTGACAAACGGCTTAGCTGTGCCATTTTTAGAACTCTATTCATAAAAGCATCAAAAACACTGGTAAACCATTTTTAATATCAGAGACCAATTATAGCGTTGTAATTCCTGCACAGAATGTGTCTGCAATTTTAACACCACAAAAAAAAAAACTTTCTTAATCTGTTTTTTGTCTTGTTTTCCATTAAAAATATAACGAAGACATTACAAGTAACTTGAGTTTTCATTTGCAAGGCAATACATTTTTCTTGTTTTTTCCTCTTTGTTTCCTTCCATCTCACTTTTTTGCTCCATGTAACTTTTTTGATAAAGAAAATGATTTGTGCAGTCTTCGTGCAATACAATGCAACTC